GGGCGAGCAGGACGACACACACACACACACACACACACACAGCCTTCCCAGGTGGCCCTGGCAGCCCACGGTATGGGGAGTAGATGGGGGGACACAGGGCCTGTGTGTCTCCACCTCCCCTCCCCCAATGGCATCTGCAACTCCCTGGGGTCTGGGTGTGCCCCTGGGTGTCTACCTGTGTCTATGCGTCCATCTGTGTCTGTGTGTCCGTCTGTGTCTGTGCATCTGTGTCTGTGCGTCTGGCTGTGTGTCCGTCTGTGTCTGTGCATCCGCCTGTGTCTGTGTGTCCGTCTGTGTATGTGCATCTGTGTCTATGCGTCCGCCTGTGTGCCCATCTGTGTGTGTGTGTGTGTGTGTGTGTGTCCACCTGTGTCTGTGTGTCCGTCTGTGTCTGTGTGTCTGACCTTTCTGCCCCTCCCCCTGGCCCACGGTGGGGATTAGTGCGATCGGTGGATTATCCCTTCCTGGCACCGCTCACCCAGAGAAGAGAGAAGAGACACATGGATGGCCCCATCTCTCCCCCACAGCCAGCCCCTCCCCCACTCCTAGTCAGCCCCCCCTCCACACCAACCCCGCTCCCAGCCTGCCCCATCTCCACACCCAGCCCCTCTCCCTCCGCACCAGCTCCACCCCCTTCCCCACACATGGCCCCACACCAGCCTCATGTTCGGCCCCACCTCCTCCCCCTTCTACCACTGGAGCTCTGCAGAGGATCTAGGGGCACTTCCTAGCCACCCCCTCCCAGCCCTTGTTCCCCCCTCCCTCATATCAGGGGTGCTCCCCAGTCCTGCCCACTGGCATCCCCCTGTCCTTCCCTCACCCCTACTCCCCTCCCACCCCTAGACTCAATGCCCCTTCCTCAATCCCTGCCCCCACCCCTGTCTGCCCAGCACCTATGCCCCATGGCTACAGCCCCATGCCCCCCAACCTGAGCCCAGAGAGGCTGGGGAGCCAGACTCCTGGGTTCTATCCCCAGCGCTGTCCCAGACTTCCAGTGTGACCTTGGGCCAGACATTGCCCCATTCCCCGTGCCTCCGTTTCCCCTCTGTAACTTGGTGGGGCCCTGCCCCAGAGTGTTCACTGAGGGGCCACTGCTGGGGGCCCAGATGCTGCTGTGATGGGCCTGGAGGGACATAACGAGGCTCAGAAACCCTGACACCCTCCCTCCCACCCAGTACATCCCACCCCTCCCCTCTGTGACTTTGCCCCAGAAAGACCCCCATGGGACGCCCCACCACACACACCCAACCCAATTCTGGCCTGGCATCTGCAGTGCCCAACGCTGGGCTCCTTCTTCCCCTCACCACCTCTCAGCCATGCAAAGGTTAACTCCTCCTCCCCCCACCCCCATGCCAGGGCAGAGTGGCACAGGCCCTGGGCAGCGCAGGGTTAATCCGAGCCTCAGCTGCCAGCCCCGCTCCCCGCTGCGCCCTGTTCAGCTGCAGGAGCCCAGGGGCGCTTTGATCTGGGAACAGGCAGCGGCTGTGATCTGCCTTCCAGCGCCAGCTGAGCTCAGGCGGGGGGGCGTTGTCTCGGTGTGTGCAGAGACTGGCTCTGCCGGTGCCCCTCACTCCTGACCCACAGCCACTGCTAGCCCAGCCTGACCCCCCCCCAAGCTTTGCTGGTGCCCCTCAACCCTGACCCGCAGCCCCCTGCTACCCCAGCCCTGACCCCCCCAGCTTTGCTGGTGCCCCTCAACCCTGACCCGCAGCCCCTGCTATCCCAGCCCTCTGCCCTCCCAGTGCCCCTCACCCCCAACCCACAGCCCCTGCTAGCCCAGCCCTGGGAGCCCCCTGCCCTGCTGGTGCCCCTCACTCCTGACCCGCAGCCCCTGCTAGCCCTGCCCTGGGCTCCCCCCAGCTCTGCTGGTGCCCCTCAATCCCAACCCACAGCCCCCTGCAACCCCAGCCCCAGTCCTGCCCCTGGGTGAGTGTTGGGGGAAGCCTGGGGGTGGGGCGTGATGGGTTTGCAGGGTTAGCTGTGGTCTGTCCCTCCCTGACCCACTAGGTCCAGCCAGTCCCCAGAGTCTGTGCCTCACTCTCCAGTGGGTGAGTGACCCTGGATACGCTGGGCACATGGGGTGACACCCAGTCCACGCAGCCTAGCCTCAGAGACCTCTTGAACTGCGCTTGCACACTGTACACACACACTGCAGCACACTCATCGCATTATAACCACCCTTTGCACAATATCGTGCACACATACTCATTACACTCCCCCTCTGCACACACACTCATCATATTGTACTCACCCTCTGCACACTGCGTGCACACATAATCACACTCACTCTCTGCACACACACACATCATACTGTACTCACCCTTTGCACACTGCATGCACATATACTCATCACATTCACCCTCTGCACACTCACTCATCGCACTGTACTTACCTTATGCACACTGTGCGTGCACACATAATCACACTCACCCTCTGCACACACACACATCATACTGTACTCACCCTCTGCACACAGTGCATGCACACATACTCATCAATTCACCCTCTGCACACACACTCATCACACTCACCCTCTGCACACACACACACACACATTGTACTGTACTCACCCTCTGCACACAATGCGCACTCACACACTGCACCACATCTTCCTCTGCACACACTTACTGCACAAACCACACACACTGCATGTGCTCAGGAAACTACAATCCCTCACACATACCCCCCACAACCATTCGCACACACACACACACACACGCAACCATTCACAAATGCACTGACATTTTAATTGTGTGCATGCACACATGTGCACAGCCACAAATTCAGCACCAGCCACGCGGACACTTGCACACTTGTGAACGCTGGCTCTACCCACGGCGCAAGCGGGGACATGTGCACACCACCCTGCACTAACACATGCACATGCATGCACACACACGCATGCACACATACAGTCACTGCTGTATTCCCAGGGATGCGGAGGGCCCCAGGCCAGAGATGCTCTCATCTGCCACATCACACTGCACAGGCTGCGCTGATGGGCTGCAGGCCCCATGGCAGCTCCCCCATCCGCCTGGGAGATGGGCTCCTTGGAGAGGCCAGGGGGCGGGGGCGGGGGCGGGGGGAAATGCACAAAGCCATGCCAGGGAGGTCCTAGTGCCCCTGCCAGGGAAGCCCAGCTCATCTGCCCACAGTGCCAGGGACATCGGGGATACCCAGTCTCCAGGGTTTGGGCCCCCTCACCTGCCCCACAGGCAGACATGGCCACAGATCCCCCCCACTGGGACGGGGCCCCCAGAATCAGTGGGGCTGGGCAGATCATAGAGAGAAGAGGGTGGCAGGTTGGACTAGAGCATGGTCCTGGGACTCTGGGGGTCTGTTCCCCATTTGGCTGCTAGGTGACCTTTGGCCAGTCACTTCCCTGCCCCGTGCCTTGGTTTCCCCATAATTCTGCTGGCCTCCATTGTACAGAGCTCTGAGCTCACCGCAGGGAAGTGAGGCAAGAAGAGACCCGGAGCGCAGAGGGGCCTGGACAATGGACAGGCAGGGCATCTGGGGCAGGGCAGGGGATGGACTCTGGGAGGGGAGGGTCTGCTTCAGTTGTTGGGGGGCTGTATTTATGGGGGGGGGGTCTGGCCAGTGACCCAGCCAATCACCCCCTCTCCCTATACACATGCTTCCCATCTCTCACCAGCCCTTCCCCTGGCTCCAGGTCTCCCTGTCACACAATCCCCAGCCATTCCCCCCACCCCAGTGCCCTGCTGGCACCGCTGGGTCTCTGCCTTGGTGCAGGGCTTTGTGTGTGTGTGTGGGGGGGAGGGGGGTTGCATGCATATGCCAGGCTGCATGGCGGGTTCCCCTTTCCGCACCCATTTGCTGCAGGAGGCTACTGGATTGGCCGTTCCCTCCAGGGCTGGGAGCAGAGTCCAGGAAAAATGTAAGCCTGGATGCAGGACCAGGGGCTGCTGAAGTAGAGTCCAGTGGTTACAGCAGGGGCAGGGACTGGGACTGGGAGTGAGGACGCCTGGGTTCTACCCCTGGCTCTGGGAGGGCAGTGGGGTCTAGTGGTTATAGCATGGAGGGCAGGACTCCTGGGTTCTGTCCCCGGGGTGCTGGGAGGGCAGTGGGGTCTAGTGGTTATAGCATGGAGGGCAGGACTCCTGGGTTCTATCCCCGGGGTGCTGGGAGGGCAGTGGGGTCTAGTGGTTATAGCATGGGGGGGCAGGACTCCTGGGTTCTGTCCCCGGGGTGCTGGGAGGGCAGTGGGGTCTAGTGATTATAGCATGGGGGGCAGGACTTCTGGGTTCTATCCCCGGTGCTGGGAGGGCAGTGGTGTCTAGTGGGTAGAGTGGGGGAAGCTAGGAGGCAGGACTCCTGGGTTCTATGCCTGGCACTGGGAGGGCAGTTGGGTCTGGGAGGGGGAATGGGAGGCAGGACTCCTGGATTCTGAGCCCACTCAGGCTGTTGCCCTGAGTTGAGAGCCCTTTACTGCTAGCGTGACATATGGGGAGGGGGGTCTGAGAGCAGAGACGGGAGACGGGCCCCTCCCCACACTTCCCTCTGCTCTGCCCTCCCCACGTGGCCAGACAATAACTCAGCTCATCCCTCATTCCTTAGCAGCTGCTGCCACATTGTGGCTCATGGACAGGGGCAGGCGGGCCTGGGCTGTGCTGAGCAATCTGGCTTTCTGCACACACAACCCCCCCATCCCCTCCCCCCTGTTCCTGGGCCCCGGCCCAGGCTGCAGAGCGCACACATAGGCCTAGATTGACTTCTGTATGGGGGGCAGCTCCAGCCAGGCCACTAGGGCCACGCGTGGGGGTAGGGGCAAATTGCAAGCTTGCCCGAGGCTGTAGGGCTGTGCCGGCCGGGGGTCACTGCTGGGCCGTGGGGCCGGGCGCCTGTCCTGGTGTTTGTTCAGATCTTGCACAGGAAACTGGAGGGTGAGGGGAATTTAACCAGTGTACCGATGCTGGCTTTGGTGAGACCCAACAGAGTGTCAATTCAGGACAAATTGCTTAAAGCAGGGCAGTTACAGCCCCAGGCTGAGGTTCCTTTGCATACCAAGGCAAATCAAACCAGCCAAACAGAGAAGACTTTGGTCTCACCCCACTGGCTAACCATAAGTCACACAAGCAATTCCCTTAGACACTCCAGTTTCCCAGTATCACCACCAGTGCCACTTGTTATGGGGACGAATGGTTATGAAAACCAATACCCCAGTAAAAGAAAAAGGTTCTCCCGCTCCCAAAGGACCAAGCCCCAGACCCAGGTCAATATACAAATCAGATCTTACCCACAAATCACGCTGTTGCCAATCCTTTAGAATCTAAAATCTAAAGGTTTATTCATAAAAGGAAAAAGATATAGATGAGAGCTAGAATTGGTTAAATGGTATCAATTAAATACAGTAAACGCAAAGTTCTTGGTTCAGACTTGTAGCAGTGATGGAATAAACTGCAGGTTCAAATCAAGGCTCTGGAACCTCCCCAGCTGGGATGGGTCATTCAATCCTTTGTTCAGAGCTTCAGTTTGTAGCAAAGTCCCTCCAGAAATAAGAAGCAGGATTGAAGAGAAGATGGAGGAGCTGCAGCAGCCTTTTTATAGTCTCTTGCCATGTGATCTCTGCTTTCTTTGTCCCAAAGACACACTATCCAGCACATGGCATAGAAAAACCTTAGAGTTCTGGCCATAGGCATGTCCCTGCATGCCTTGCTGAGTCACCAGCTGTATCTGCCTTCTCTCAATGGGTCAGTTGTATAGCTGATGGTCCTTAATGGGCCATCAAGCAGGCTAGGCAAAGCTGATGCCATATTATCTGGGGTGTCACCCAGAAGCATAGCACCAGTTTGAAATACAGGCAGTATAGCGCCAATACTTGTAACTTTAAATACAAAAATGATACCTGCCCCCAGATAGCATAATCATAACCAGCAACCATAACATTGTCTTAGACACCTTATTTGATCCCCTTTATACAAGATTTAGTGCCATTACAGGACCTTGGTTGCAACAATGATCTATACGGTCCCAGTTCATATTAATAATGTCACAACCAGGGCCATGGGGTGGGGGCAGGGCTGCCTCACTCCCATGTGTGGGTTTCCTGTTGACTCAGAGTAGCCCCCCCTTTGGAGGCCAGGTGAACCGCCAGCCACGCCCCGCGGGGAGAGGCAAGAGCAGCAGCTGGGAGAGGCCACCGCTTTCTGGGAGGGGAGCCTGAGGGTAACGGGGCGGGGGGCCTGCCCAGGGGGGGGGTGGAGACTCAAGCTGTTCAGGGGTGGTGGACAAACCTTTAAATTGTGCACACACCCCACTTTCAACATATACAATGTTGGGGGGGGGGCAACCCCCCCATTCCCACCCAACTCTGCCCATGAGTACACTGGGTTTGCACGGATAGTTCCGTGTTCCGCACAGCCATGGTAACAGTCATGTGGGGGGGGAGGGGGGTTGCACACAGGGAGCAGGTGTCTGGTTGGGCTTGGATTTTGCACAGACTGTGCTGTGTGCACAATCATGGTAAATGCACATGCACAAGCAGGCCTGGCTGCTGTCACAGGGCCACCCCAAGTGGTGCGTCTGGCTCCCAGAAGAGAGAAGTCAGACGCATGTCCCCTTTCACTCTGGAGGCTGGAATAAAAGTTTGATCGGTAGCTTCCAGCATCTGAACTGCCTCCTTCCCAAAACCCGCAGAGCTGGTCTGCTCTGGTCCTGACTGGCCCCAGACTCTGCTTTCTTCCAAGGCCACGTGGGACTTGTCAAGGATCAAACCACGACAATTGGCCCCTGTCTTTCCTGGCCAGATAGGGGTTAAGGGCCCCCTGTCCCCTGTGATTCCCAGGGGTCAGGAATCGCTGCTGTTCATTTCATTCCCAAAAGTGAATCAGAAAGGAACTGAAATAAACAAACCAAAGATGCTGAAGCAAAGACAGACAAAGTTGAATAAACAAAGGAGACTGTGTGTGTGTGTGTGTGTGTGTGTGTGTGTGTGTGTGTGTAGTAAGAAT